CTGCATGACGTCGCAAAGAAATGTGTTTTGCGGTGAGTGTTCGTGTGCGGAGATGGAGCAGAGTGCGTTATAGAGAACCTGAACGGGGGTGATACTTCGAGAAAGAAATGTTCGCACAAACATTGAGAATGTAAAAAAATAAAATGTTGATGTCATGTGATGATTGAGATTTGGGATGGCGAGAGTGTGCAGTGGGCGCGGCGAGGGCGCTACGGCGAAGCTGTGGGCGTCGAGCCGGGCGAGGGCGGGCTGTGGGCGTGCGAATCCGTCTTGGGCGAGCGATACGGTGTGTGGCTGAGGGCGACAGGCGTGGCAACGAGGTTCGGGGACGTGGAGGGGGCGGTGGCGTGGGCGGCGGGCGCAGCGGAGAAGATCGGCGCCGAACTGTTCGAAGGTTTCACGGGCGTAGCGACGAAGGTCGTAGGCGCGGGGAGAATCGCAGCCGAGGGCGTGGTGGAGGACACAGCGAAGGCGCCGGGCGAGGAGGTGAGTGTGGTGGGCGTCGAGGTGAAGAAGATGGGCATCGGGGCGTGAGTCATGGGCGCCGCGTCAGGGGGCGTGGGCGGGGCAGCCCCCGGTGTGGCTACGTGAGCAGCCAGTGTGGGCGGGAGGAAACAGGGAGCAAGGGCGGGCGGGCCAGAGGCGAGCGCGGGCGGCGGCGGCAGCGACGATGACGACGACGATGGCGATGAGGGGAGGGGAGGGAGGGGGCGAGTGGGCGGAGGGCGCGGCAGCGAGGGCGCTCGCCGCGCCAAGGGGCCCGGCCAGCGGCACCATGGGCGCCAGACCTATGCTCGTGGGCGTGTTATCTCGCGAAGGCGCGCGCCGGCCGGCGGAGGAGGGGAGGGGGGCGGGGAGGGGCGGCGGCGACGGGTGTGGGGAGAGAACTGGGCGCGGTGCTCTGCTATGCCGGGGATGGTAGTCACAAGTGGATGGGGCGGAGGTCCTCGGGCGACACGCTCTGGGAGCACTGCGGGCACTCGCTCTTCACGCCCTGCGGGAGACACGCGTCAGAACACGAGGTCAGGCCGAGAGGCAAATGCCAAGCGCATATAATCATCAAGTCAGATTCAGCGAAGGAAATACTGAGCATTATTACGAGACAGCGTAACTTACCAAGGTGTGGGCCCAGCACGCCTCGCACAGCACGTGCCAACAGACCACAGACACGGCCGGTCTGTCGTACTCCGTCTGCGGGAAGGAACCAGGAAGAACACATTTAGTGGGTGGAAGGATACATGTTTATCGCGGTGATATAAGGCCGAAGATATCAATTTGAACATCTCTTCTGAAAATTATATATTTTTCATCAAAGCGAAGGTGAACAGGTCAAGGAGCAACTTGACAATCAGTCAGTTATCAAATGAATATCATCACCAACCTGTCAGTCCGCCATCAGTCTCACCAACATGCCAAGCGCACCTCTGCCTTCATGAAATACAGACAAGCGGCTGAACGCCTGAATGAACTGACGAACCACAGGGCACAGGGCCTGGGAGGCCGAGCCGTCTCTCACCTGACACACTAGACAGATGAACTTGGAGGGCGCGGCGCCGTCCCGCTCCAGCACCCGGACCTTCTCCTTGAGCGCCTCGAGTTCCACGCTCATGGGCTCCACGCGGCTGCCGCTGCCTGCCTCGCCGCCCTCCAGGACGCCGCCCGCGCCGCCCATCTCTGAGTCCCCGCTGCGGTCGCTGCCGCCCTCTCTGTGGTGCTCTGCGGGAAGGAAGCGGGATCCTTGGTTACGGGATTGGCTGCGGCAGGGCTTCCTTCACCTCTTTGGAGGATTTGCTTTATTTCATGAAATTTTGGTCTTTGATATACCAACGCCAAAATGATTAGTATATGCATTACTATAGACACATACATGTTATATAGAAACACAAACAAAATAAAAAGTATAAAAGGCGCAGGTGCCCGGAGACAGCCAGAGGCGAGCGCTTACCGTGCGTCTGCGGCCTGAGCAGCGACGAGACCCTGACGCGGCGCTGGCCGCACCACTCGTACTCCTCGTAGGGCCCGTCGCCCTCCACGTCCACCACCTCGTCTTCGCCACCGCCCTGCAGGAGACCAGAGAGTACTCCGCCAGACTGTACAGAGAGAGATGACCTGCGTTTAGAGGGGGTGAGAGGGAGGGGCAGGGGAGGAGGATGCTAAGGGAGGAGTGAGGGCTTTAGGGGAGGGTTACGGGTGGGCTGTGGGGGGAAGGGGAAGGGAAGTGTTAGGAAGGAGTTAAGACGTTGCGAGAGGGGAGGAGGATGTAGATGGGGGGGGGGTAGTTGTAAGGTGAAGCTCCAGGGAGGTTTAAAGGTTACATGGGGTTACAATTAGGGAGCAAACATGGTCGAGGGAAGGCTCCAAGTAATAACGGCGTTCCCAGGAATATGTAGTGAAGCTGTTACATGAAGGATTTGGTAGTAAAGGTGACAAGAAAGGATTACACCAGATTTTGAAATGAAATACAGAACTGCACAAATATGATGTATATACCTGATGGGAA